TATATATATATATATATAATAGAAAGAAAGAAAGACCGAAAAGGACTTTAATAGGCTAAAATTTAATGATTTCAAAACTTAAAAGCATTCATAAGAAATATATCATACATTAATTTAAACTTCAAATAATAAAATATGTGAAGTTTCCATACAAACAAAAAATACGTAAATTTTAAAGAGCTAAAGTTTTAATGATTTATTCTATATTACATAATTATATATAAAGTTAACTTTATTAATTGCTTTTAAACTTTAATATATTCGCATCCATGAGCATGGTATTATTAATATTTAATAAACCGGTCGTATGATTTAAATTAACATGCTTCTAATATTTTATGCATTATGGATAATTTAATGAAACAATTTTTCTGTTTAAAACTTATAAATGTAAAGTTTCATGATTAATTAATTTATTTACATACTTCTGAAAAATATTCTAAATATAATATATATCGTATGTTTCAAAATACTGAAATAATACTACATTTTAGGTGAGTTTCTTCTCTACAAGTCCCGAACTGAGTAATAAACAGAGATTCGAATACTTTTTACGTACTGTTCCTTCCGATAAAAACCAGGCTCATGCTATGGTCGAGATCGTTAAGCGACTAAAATGGGCTTACGTTTCCATTCTCTACGAAGAATCCAATTACGGAGTGAAGGTTTCTATCATACTTTTGAGTTTATATTATATATATTATTAATAATTGCAAATAACTTTACTTTCCAGGCATTCAGTGTTCTGGAGGAACTGTTGGCTGAAAGTAACATTTGTATTGCCATCAAGGAAAGACTAATCAAAGATTCTGGAGTGGCTGTAGAAGAAGCCTATGATAATATCGTGCAAAGATTATTATCTAAACAAAGCGCTAGAGGTACGATCACCTATACAATTTTTTTGTTTCAGAATACTATTGCATAATATATTGAATTTTATATGTAGAAAATATTTAAATTATATTTAATATAACTTATATTAACTTTAGTTTACTTATTTCAGAAAATTTTTATATTAAAATTAAGGATATTGAGAATAGACAATATTTAAAATTTATTTGTACTTTTTACTTAATAATCTCTTAAATTAATAAAATATGTCATGAATATAATGTAACATGTGTATTAAACAAAAGCATATGAATGAGATAACATTAAAGTTTGAAAATATTTTGTTTCTTGAATGATAGATTTATGAAAAATTTATATCACATATCTCAAAAATGTAATATTTTTAAAGTAACAAAATGTTATTTTCATTTTAATTCTTATTCGAGTACTTTGTTTTGTTTACTGAAGTATTAATGTAGAATGCGAATCTGTAGGTACTGTGAGTTTTCATTATAAATGGTCACAGCTTTCAATACATTTTCCGAATGTAATATAGAAGAGTATTTTTCAAATATTGAAAGAAATTCTATCAAAGTTTCCTAAAATATTCTTTAAAATTTAGTAAAAAATTTATATATGTATATAAATTTTGAACTAAATTNTATTTTATTTTAAAAATTCATAGAAAAGTAACAAATGCTGAACCTTATAAGGTATTTAATTTAATTTTATTTACTAAACCTTATATCATATGGTTCAGCAAATAAGATTAAATTAAATACGATTTTAACGCAAAATAAAGTGTTTGATACTATCTGCTTCGTTTTTCCAAAATGTTTGGCAAAGGATTTTCCCATAGAAAAAGCATTAAAGTTTTAACGTCATATTCTGGAGATCGCTCATAATCAGAGATTGTAATCAGCCTTAATAAAAATTTCCTAAATAAAAAACTATTATTCTAATGTATAATTTAAACATAAAAATAAATGCATATAGGCCTACATAACAACTTACTTGATTAATTTTTAATTTTTATTAATTTGAAAACAAAATGTCAAATGTTTTATTTATATAATAAATTATTAATAAGATTTTTATATTGCAATATTACAAAATTTTTAAAATATATAACTTTTTAAACTCACATTAGAGTGATATTAAGACAGCAGTTAGTACATCTACTTTATAAAATTGCTTTCTTCTCAGTACTGGAACGAATTATTAAAGACATTTAATTAACCTTTAACTTCTAGTAACAAAAATCTTTAATGTAAAACTTTCTGACGAACGTTTTCGACCTTAACCAAGGTCTGCCTCAGGTCATCAACGACATTCCAAAATTGGAATGCGCAGAACACAAAAATTTCCAATATATTTTTAAATAATAAGAACAAAAACATAACGTTGTAAAACAACAAAAATTAATCGATGGTAAATATACAATTAAATCAGATATAAATATAAGAAATAAAATAGTACAAAATAATAATAATTACTATTAATTTATGTCGGCAATTCCCGGTCTTTCATTAATTAAAAGCATCGCCGTGCATATGAGACGCTTTTTCCGTCTTTAAAGTTAATATAATTGCCAGTCAGGTTGGCATTGCATATTTCCAAAAATTCTAGGGCTTGATGTGATCGATTTGAAATGATTGCTTAATTAACGTGGCTTTCTGGAGATCGGCTTGCACGTCTGTTTCAGTGGAGTAAATGACGTTCAAACTGTTCAAACTGTTTACGACGTTCAAAATGTCGTAACTATGTTCCTGCAACCTTTTGTGTATGGATCGCTTAGTGGACCCAATGTATACCATATCTCTTTGGAAACTGTTATCCCTCATAGGAACACTGTACACCTCCGGTGGCCCTATATTTATCGGCCTTGTTCTTTCCGTTGAGTAGTAATACATATGTCGTGGAAAGTCTCCTGTAACATCCACTCTATTTAATAATCTATCTTCATTACATTCATTTTGGGTTCTATACCTCTTTTCTGTTGGCTAAAATGTTATTGTTATTATATTATTATACAGAATTTTGAAAATTTCTTTAAAAGTTGTGACATACTTTAATTAATGCACTGTGCATTATAAGATAGCATTTTACATACCTTAATAATTTTTACACTCTAACATAAAGATTATAGTTTTTCACTTATGTTTTTATATGACCTTTGTATGACATTTACACACAAACTTTTACATTAACAGCATATTGTACCAGACTCTATTTTATTGTTTCATTTAACGTATTTTTTCATGTTAATTTTATATTTGTTATAAAATATTTTTATTATTTAATACAAGTTATTATCTTATTTTATTTCATTTTATATGCTTTATTTATTTAATTAATTTGATATACATTTTACATTTTTTTTATAAACGGATATTATTATATTGTTATTATTTATTTAAATAAATAAATTTAAATACAGAATAATATATTATGTTTACCAACATTAATATTTATTTCTATTTTATCTTTGTTTTAAAAATTTAAAACTATACTTCGCAAATTTTGAATGTAAATTAAATTTTGTACACTGAAACTTTTTTTAGCGAATACTTCCGAGAAACGAACTTTTATATTATTGATAATATTTTATTTACCGGTATATCGATTTCTATGATTATTTTGTTTTTTAATAGTGTATATTCTGAATAACAAACGTGAATAATAGTTTAAACTGATGATAACAAACAGTTGCTGATTTGATATTTGACTTATTTTTTAATATTTGAAGACAAGTTCGCCCATATAGGGATCACCATTTTTTGCTTTTGCGTTCTAGACAGTACATTTCCGGCGACCGATCTTCCTTTCTAGGCTACTAGCCGCCAAAAAGTTTAAAAAAGTCCTTTTAAAAACACAAAAAGATATCCGATTAAAAACACAAAGATTTTCTAAAATCAGAACTGGTGTTATTCGAACGTCTTTCTTGTCCTACATGGGCGAACTTGTCTTCAAATATTAAAAAGTAAAAAGAACCATCGGACGAAAAAATTACGGATTTGACTTATTATTAGAAAAACTAGAACCTGTTTATTTTGTCGAAAATTTATATATATATGTTACTGTGAATGATCGATATCTGGCAAATGTCAACATTCTCCGGTGAATGTCAACATTCACACAGTCGTTTCGTGTATTTACGAAATATTTGATAAATATTATTTCTCACTTACACCGGCAAATGTCGACATTCAGCATGCACTGATGGTGAATGTTGAATAAAAATATTTTTATAACGTTAACACAAAAATGAAACATTTTAATATGTGAAAATAGGAAAAAGCTTGTAACAGCACATTTAAATAAACTGTTAAACCTAAAACGAACAGTACATTCTTAATCATTAAAGAAAATAATACAATAATAAACTTACACGTATATGATTAACGTTATACAATCTTATTTATTGCAACAACTTAAACTGTTGTGACACTTTGAATTGCGTAAGAGTCCCTTGCTTTTAAAACTACATTTATTCCTGGAACACTTTTTTTTCGTAATGACAGCGTGTATAGCCTTGCCCTCCCAAATGTCCGAATGCTGACAAGAGTGTCCAGTGTACAAGACAGTGTAAAAGTTCAATTAGTTTTTGAACTTTTCTTTTGGCATATGTATTGTATTGGAGTGTCATCTACTTGGCGGAATTATAATAATGCAGTGGTTTGGTCGAAACAAAGGCCCGAACAAGGACCCGAAAGTGTCAAGCAAAAAGCTTATGACTATGATCAGGTTTGTCGAGAGGGAAGGGGAGTTGGGAACTTTATTTTAGAAACATTAGGCTACGTATGTCATTTATTCAAAAAAAAAAAGACTAAAGGGTCTTGCAAACAAACAATAAAGATTCCGCTTTACCCCCGGCCCCGTACAAGTTTTCGACGGCCCTGCCCATGAACAAATAATCGTTTTGATCTTTGATTTGATAAAGCAATTTTTTTAAAATAAATTTTAAAACTTCTACATAAGAAATACTCTCAAAAATTTCTGAAGCATGTTGCATATAAAAAATTTTTTTAAAAGAGAATCTATACATTTTGTCCTTTTTCACACCTTAGGAACAAGCAAAATAGCACAGTTTATATATAGAGGCAGAAAAGAGCTTCAAGTAAAAAGTTAACTTCGCTGTGTGACGTTTTTAGTTTCCAAGGCCCGAGAAAGGACAAAATATAAAAACGCGATTTTAAAAAAGATTTTCTTATATCTAAGAATATTTGACCTTTATTAGAAGTGTTTGATTTTTACAGAACTTTTAGTTATATTTATGCTTAGATTTTTCATTTAACGATAAAATTTAATTTGAAAATTCTGATAATACATTTTGGCATATAACATTATTTTTTAACAGTTACTGCAGCTTTACAGAAAAGCTGGTGTTTTTATATGCAGCAAATTGAAAATTGCATTGCTTCAAATTATTGAATAACCTAAACGATATTTATTGCTGATTGCAGTTAGCGGTTGTCAGAGAAAATCATTAGATTGCGAAAGCGTTGCTGGGTGTAGCAACTTCAATACAGCTATAAAAGAAAACCAATGATATATCGATGCATCATTTGATACGGAAGAAGCTATTGACTTGCTATATTGAAGCCAGTTTATCAGGCTAAGACCTCTGGTCTATATATTTATCTTAATGCTATCTTAGCAGGTTGCCAGGTTAATCGCTTTAGCACCGTTTGGGCTATATAACAAATTTTACGTTGCATGTATACGAATAAACAGCCAACTAACACATTCTTCCTTTTTAGGAAAACTTGCTTTTCAGTTCTTTGGGTAAAATAAATTATATATTTAAGCGCTAAATTTCTCTCGCTATCTGGCAACATTGACTATAATTTGCGTGTTAAGCCTACTTCCATAATGGAAAAACATATCACGCATATGATTCTCGTTCGTTTTCACCTTTTAATTTCTACTTTTTAGTCTGCAATAGCTAAGAATGGAGAAATTCAAAATGGAGAAATATAAGCTCACAAAAGTGGATATCTATAGAGAAGCAAAACAAAAAGAAAAAAGTTTAACCGCAGCACGT